GGACGGGGCTGCGGCGGCGACAGGGAGCGAGGGGCGCGTCTGCGCGTGGGGAGACCTCTCCGTTGCCCGTCACCTGGACCGCGTCACGTGAGGGTGGCGGCTAGTTCCGTGGCCCGAAAATAAAGCGATTGGTGCCGAGCTTTCACACCTGGATGTGTACACGTGAAACGTGATGTTTTAAAACAAAATTAGTTGCCTTAACTATGTAAATTAGGCGTTTTTATGGTTTTCCGGGGATGCTTTTGATAAGTCCAACTGTTCTATCACCAAGACAAAGGTTCTAAGGAGGTGCATGTACTCTTGCAGCTCTGTAATTCCCTGTGATAAAGCCGACGCCGGCTGGTTTCAGCCCGTTTTCCCGGTCAGTCTTAGGAGCTGTACACACGCTTGGTTGCCCTGGAAACAGAAACAATAGAGCAGATTGTGACTTGAGGAGATTGTGACTTCCGACCTGTAGAACCCGTAAGGGCCTGGCCTGATCAGGAAGAGGTCGCCTTTCCCTCTCACTCCTAAGGCCACTGTTGGCGAATTCACTAGGAACTTTTAGATTAGGAAATTAATACCGTTTCCCACCCCGTTCCTCCTCCCTTTTGTAAGAAATACATCTTCTCCGTGTATTCAGTGTTAGGACCTGGTTAGTGACACAGTGGTGGATCATAGTCTGCCTCCACGTGTTTCCTCTGTTCATACCTGCATCCTTTTGCACATTTTTAAGACAGGTAATTAAATGGAAAATTGTCAGAGAATTTAGTGACTCACTCAAGTATATATCTCTGTATGTCTTTCTGTATTCACCAGTCGGCCCAAGTCTATACCTGTTTTTGGCTTTTGTACACAAAACTTCATTAACTGGAGAGTCAAATATTTGGTAAACTCTGAAGGCAGGAGTCCCTGTAGCCAAGCGGGATATGGCTTCAGATTCAAGGTCACTAATGGCTATGAAAAATATTTTCAACCAATTGCATCTATTCCCTGCCTATATACCTCTATCACTGTTTAATCTTGATTTCCTGCCCAATTACTGTATGAACAATCAAAATGTAATTACAGTAAAACCTTAAAAAAAAAAAGACTAAATCAGTTGTTCGTTATATAACAAAGTAGGTTTTCCAAATGCATGTTAAAGATTTGGTAAATTAGTTACTTCACCTGTTTTTACTTATGTAGACACGTTTGTATAATTAAATTATGTATGAAAAGCTTACTTTCACAGAGAAGTTTTCTATATATATTATTGTATTTTTAAATTTGTACTGAGTAAGTCTAGTAACTAAGTGCATTCACCCGCATATGGCAGGGGCATGGCCTAGGACACTAGTTAAAGCTGCTGCAGAAAGTTACGCCAGGAGACAACAGAACCAAAAACTTCACACAATTCGGTGTGATCACGTGCTAATCATTCACCCAACATGGGATAGGAGTAGTGACTTAAATATGTAGACTATAGTTGTAGGTATGTGATATTTATTGATGTTGGCAAAAGTACTCCAATGTTTTTTCCAGCATATAACTTATTCGATAAAATTTGTTTGAAATAATAGTGAATTAATAACAAAAAAATAGCCTGTTAATTTAATTATAAGCAAATCTCGGTTAAAACCATTTTAAAATTAAACAAACAAACAAAAACGTTGACATGGTGACAGATGATTACTAGAATTAGTGGGGTGATCACATTGTAAGGTATAAAAATGTCTAGTCACCGTATTGTACACCTGAAACTAATATAACCAATATAAGATTGTATACCAACTATACATACTGAAATTTTTAAAAAATTCAGTTAGTCCTCCTGGCAAATCTCAGAGTGAAGGGAGGGGAGGGAGAAATTAATCAAAGAACTTATATGCAAACCCATGGACACAGACAATAGTGTGGTGAAGGCCTGGGGGGTGGGGGGCCAGGTACAGGGTGCAGGCGGTCAGTTGGGGGGATGAAGAGGGACATCTCTAATACTTTCAACAATAAAGATAAATTTTTTTTGAAAATGGAGTTAGTTCTCAAATCTGCCTCACTTTAACTTTCCTCTAGGCCTCCTCAGGTTTCCCATACATGCCCATAACTAACAGAGTTTTCCAAACATAATCTGTGATGGATTTGTCCTATGTTACTTGAGTGTATATGCTTGAATTTTCACCCTCTAATATGAGAGAAAATAAAATCTATTAAAAAATAGCATTGTATGCTAATAGTAGTAATCGTCATTTATCCAGATAAACACTTTTTCTAGTTGTGTATTTTTATGATGATTAGTGAGAGTAGATGATTTATATCTTCATTGAGATAACCTGTGGATAAGAAAGATTGAACATTAGTGAAGTAAAAACAATAGATGCTCATTTGAAATGAGAAATTTTTTAAGTAGTCAAATCTTTACGTGACATTTTATTAATACCAATACCTGGATAGAGTGCTTTTTCAAATTGTGCATTTTTTTGAATTAACTAAGAGGCAGTATAGTGATTAAAATTGTGATCTTTGAAATGTGACTACTGCCTAAGTTCTAATTTCGTTGTAACTTCACTGTGTCTCAGTTTTCTCATCTGTATAATTGGATAAAAATAACACCTACTTCATGAAATGTTTGTGTAGATTATATATAATTTGCATAGAAAGTATTATCAAGTTCTATTAGTATTACTATGAGAGTGTAGTAATAAGATTCTACTGACTAAAGTGGTTTTATTTTGGGGGGTGGGATTTTTGAGACTAATTAGAATTTTTATATTTCCAATTCTTGGACTGCCTTATGTAATTATGCTGGCCTTATTTAACATGTAATCTAATCACCACAAAATTCACAAATGGGTGATGCAAGACAGAAAAATTAAACCCAGTATTTCCATAGAAATCACTATGGATACAAAAGCATTCATGAAGAATTAGAGAAATCTACCTTCTTTTAAGAGTTTTAGTTTTATTTACTGTGGGAGCTAAGAGTTTAAGGACTTGTTCCTTCATACACATAAAAGCTAAGCACAATAAATAATTCTCTAAAAAGATTTTATTGTTTTTAACAGCCCACATTTTCTCTCTATTCTCTCCACCAGATGGAAGTATAGCACCTTGTACCAAGTCTTGATCTCAGTTCTAGTCTCTACCATATTCAAATCAGTTAGGAGGGAAAAGATGAACATCATATTCAAGAGTATGAAATACTTCCGCAGCTGGATTATACAGCATCACATTTTAATTGTTTACCAGAGTACAATGAAAACAATTGATTGGATAAGGTTCCTTTCCACAAATTCTTTTAATTCCACTGAAGTCAACACAGACCCATTCTGAGAAATAGCATATGAAACTTTTTGGTAGCTGGAAGAACTCCATAGGACTGAACTCAAATAACAAAATACTGTCCAAATATTTTTAAGTGTATTAAAAATTAACAGAACTAAACCTTTGGTATCCTTAGCAAATTGGTTTTATATAATAATCTGTGAGAACACCATCCTTGATAACTTGGTTAAGCTGAGTCATCTTATTTTCCAGGTGCAACATTGTACTCCAGTTAATCAATACAGTAATTTAAGTTGCTGCTACAATAATGGAAAAGTATGAAAAACTAGCTAAGATTGGAGAAGGGTCTTATGGGGTTGTATTCAAATGCAGAAACAAAACGTCTGGACAAGTGGTAGCTATTAAAAAATTTGTGGAATCTGAAGAGGATCCTGTTATTAAGAAAATAGCACTAAGAGAAATACGTATGTTGAAGGTAAGTTAACTTGATGTGTCTATAATATGATATTGGGTGAAATATGTGTGTGCCACAATTACAAAGAATTTCAAAGTGATTCTTCCCCCCATTGGACTTAAATCCTTTGTATCAGTAACTTTGGGAAATAAATTGATCACCACTTTGGACTTTGGCCACTCTGCTACTTAGCTGGTATTGTAAGTACAGCTGTGGATTGTTAAAATGCAGAAGTAATCCCTTCTGGTTGGTAACTCACTGCCCTCAGTCCTCTCATTCCCCCCTGCCACCACCCCTCCCCCATCCTTCCCCCCCTTAAACCAGCAGATAAAAGAGCATCTGCTGACACAGAGGGGCCACAAGGCAGTGCCGGTGGGCCTGTGGGCATGGCCATGGACGGTCCTGCCTGTTATCTGCTCCCTGGGTCTCAGGCATACTGACTGTCACCCCAGCTGTGTGTACACATTGTGCACAAAGGTTTTGTTCTAGTTGTTTCTTCTCTGATAGGCTTTGACATGTAGGATTCCTAAATTCTCAGTGTAAACAGTTTCCTATCATAAAAATCTTAGTTTGAGAACATAAGAGACCTTGGAGTTGCCTCTCATCCGCACCCTCATTTTATCAGAGAGGAAACTGCATCATAGGGCAGCGCTGCTCACACAGGAATGTGCCTGGGAACCCCCAGGGGGGACCTTGTTAAAATGCAGGTTCCGAGTAGGGAGCTGTGGGGTGAGCCTGAGACCCTGCATTTCCAACCAATGGCACAGGCCCTGCTGGTTCACGACCACACTTCAACAAGACTTGTGGTTTCAGGAACACACAGCCAACTTTTACTTGTGACAGGTCGTCTGTTTTTAGGAAATCCCCAGAAATCCAGTTTTTAAAGGGAGATAATAGTTCATTATCCATCCTTTTCGAATATTATCTGTAGCAGGTTTCCTCAGCTAATGAGTTCTAGAGTTTCGTTTAAAACATAAGTAGATATACCCGGATTTTTCAAGAGCACATCCATCCATCACGATAAAAAAGCAGTTCACTGATACCTTGTAGGCAGCAGCCAGCTCTGGCCCAGAGCTCAGTCACACGGTGTGTTTCTGAACAGGTGGTTTTCTAATAAAACACCGCCACCCCCAAAGCCTTCAACGAAAGTTAGTGCTCAGATAGTGCCTCCCGGTTCCCCAATTGGAGAATGAACTTGAAGGTTAAAATGTAGCCAGATTCCAGCTCAGCTTGGTCTCCGGTGGTGGTGACTCTCAAAGGGCACGCTTTCCCTGCTTTGGGCAGTTGCCCCCATGTACACCCCGACCAGGGTCCTTCCAAGACAGATCCACCTCACCTTCCTCGTGGACTCCCGTCAAATGTGATTGATTTCCCCTCCGCACTGTGTTTCTGGGCTAAGCTAATCTCATTGGCAAAGGAGATGTAAGTTGCTGATCTGCCCAGACAGATGTGACCGGGTTGAACGGTGGCGTTGCATCAGCTGTAGCGTCTGGGAATTCCTTTCTCCCTGGTAGAGAGATTTTTCCCTTCCCTTTCTACAGTCTGGCTGCAGCACAGAGCAGCTGGTTTTCCTGTGTGGCCGGTCTCCTCCGCTGTTTGCCTTTTGCCCTTTTAGGTAGAACACATGGGGGGATGGGGTGGGAGGACCTGATTTGGTGCGCTGAGAATATTTTTAATGTATAATAAATGCCCCTTTCCCAGAGTACTGAGCAGCAGGCACGCCGTCACAGGGTGATAATTTTTTGGTCAAGCCATGCTTACGAATGCTGAGGTAGGGGATGCTGTGTAGGTCCTCGTACTTAGGAATCTATACCGGGCCTGCAAAATATTTATTAAGAAATGAAATGAAATGGAAATGAAAAAGTGTCTCTATCAGGAGAGAAAGGGATTCCCAGATGCTATAGCTGATGCAACAAAGCTGTGAGATTATATATATACATATATATATGTATATATATATATATATAGCACAGAGTTTGCAAAAATGATTTGCCTACTAAACTGGGAAAACAACAGGGAAGATGAGTTATAAGCAGGAGTGATCAGGTGTCCTGGTCTAGAACCAGAGTCTGTCTGGTTAGCATCCTCCTCCAGAAGTGTCCTGGTTTATACGCTAAACTATAGGGTCACCTACGTGTCCGGTTGCCTGGGCAGCCCTGGCTTATACTCATTCCCCTGGAAGGATGCTACATTACGGCATTGCTCTAGTGATGGATTATCTTAATCAGGATTCTTCCTTCGGCCTACACAGCCTTAAACAGAGGCTGCCTTGTGGAAGGCTTCAGTTTGGGAAGAGAATTTACCACAACGTTTAAGCATAAGAGAGAATAATAAAGTCAGAGGGCAAAGCTGGAAAATGACAAGTTAAAAACAGACTAATGCGTGGACTCCTAGCATAGGCACTTGGATCGGATTGAAGGTTAGGATCTTGTATTTCTGAGCCAACGCTAAAATCCAGACTGGGTTGAAATCCAGCTGACATTTACAGTAAATCCATGGCAGTCTGTGAGCTACTAGTAAATGGGTATGGATGAGTTTTGTAGTCTTAACAATAATTCCATTTCCTCATTTTTTATTCAGGTTATTTTGTCACACATATTTAGAATTTCCACAAAATGCTGAAGTATTTGTTGTTGTAGAGCTTATATTTTAAGTTGTGTGCTTTATTTGTTATCTCCAGAGAGATTCAGGCTAGTTACCATCAGGTTAGCACCCATCATTATGGGTGCATGAGACAAATTCTTAAATTTTTCTTGCAACTTTAAGATTCCTTGATTCTTACTAAAGGTAAGGATTCTTACAGGGATGGTTTCTCTTGTAAGTAACTGTAATAAAATTCTCCACAAGACCTCCTGTACTTACTATTGTAAGGGATCCAGGGAAAAATTCTTACAGGGGACAAGTCACCAAGTTTTGATTTCAATTCCTTTGCAGCAATTAAAACACCCAAACCTTGTGAACCTCATTGAGGTGTTCAGGAGGAAGAGGAAAATACATTTAGTTTTTGAATACTGTGATCACACACTTTTAAATGAGCTGGAAAGAAGTCCAAATGGGTAAGTAATCTAGCAACTGAAGCCCTGTGCGATCGGGTCCTAGTTTCAGTCCAGGTGGGATTAACTCTGGCAAACTTCAAATCAGAGCCACAGTTCCCCTTTCTACCCAGATGCACGTGCTGGCTACCCCTCTCTAGTCTCAGTTAGGATGTGCTCAGAGGGCAAATGAATATTAACCTAGAGTAGAAATAATTAGGAAGACAAAACCTACACATATAAGTCACAATGCATTTTGAGGCCAAATTATGTATTGGTGCCCAAGCCGGTTTGGTTCAGTGGATAGAGCTTTGGCCTGTGGACTGAAGGGTCCCGGGTTCGATTCCATTCAAGGGCACTTGCCCAAGTTGTGGGCTCGATCCCCAATTCGGGACATTTAAGGGGCAACCGATCAATGATTCTCTCTCCCTTTCCCTCCTCTGTGAAGTCAATAAAAATATTTTTTTAAAAAAGATGCATTGAAATAAAAATTCCAGAGTAAATATTTAAAAAATAAATAAGTTATGTATTGGATTATCTGAATTCAGGGAATGAATCGTGGTTCAATATCAGGAAGTCTATTCACATAATAGGTTAAAAGAGAAAATATATATATTGTATGTTGGTAAAATCTGAAAGGCAGTTGGTAAATTCAGTATCCTTTTCTGATTTTTTTTAAACCTTAGCAAACTAGGATTAAAATACTTTATTAGCATGCGTGCGTGCACACACACACACCCCTACACAGACCCTCTTCTAATCAACAGCTAATTTTATACTCAACACTAAAGGAACCACCATGAAAGTGGAAAACAAGACAAGGACATCAGTTGTCACCCCAGCTGGGATTCGAACTCTCTCTCTCATAGTGCTCAAAGTGGCTATGCTATTCTTTCTGACTCTTAAAATTTTTAAACACTATTGTCTCAGGTTTGGCTCTAGGCCAGTGGTTCTCAACCTTCCTAATACCACAACCCTTTAATACAGTTCCATATGTTGTGGTGACCCCCAATTTCATTGTTACAAATTGAGCATAATTAAAGCATAGTGATTAATCACAAAAACAATATGTAATTATATATGTGTGTTCCGATGGTCTTAGGCAACCCCTGTGAAAGGGTCGTTTGACCCCCAAAGGGGTCACGACCCACAGTTGAGAACTGCTGCTCTAGGCAAAGGGAGACCATTAAGCTGTGTCAGAATTCAGTACAGGAAACAGAAACCACTCCAGAAATTTCAGACGGAGGTGATTTAATACTGAGAACTAGGTGCTTTCACAGATTAATAATTAGAGGTGCCAGAGGCAAAGGGCTGCCAGCAGACCGCTGATGTCACGGGCATGTCACCATAACTGTGACCCAGATCGGGAAACTGCCCTGAGAAAAATGCTTCCACACACTTGTTGCTGTTTCTCGGCGTTTACCCCAGCCCCACATGGTGATGTCTTGTTGCTAGTACGTCACCCAAGTCATATACAGGTGGAAGAAGGCCAGCTACACCTGCATGATTCATTCAGTTTTCAAAAAGTGATCTGAGCATACAGATATGATGAAATAATAAAGCTGAGTGCTGGGTGTGTTTGGAATATCAGATAAGTTTAAATTTAAAAACTTACATTTGATAAAAAGAAATCTTGCTTCAGATTTTTTTTTTGAAATATGCAAACAGCAATCCCATCTCATGACTGGGACTGAAAAACAACACCACACTGAGAAAAATAATTGTAGCACATATGCAGACTCTGACATACATTGAGTCTTCATAAGTCAGAAAGGAGTAAACAGACCAATCAAAAAAGCGGTAAAGACTCTGAACAGGAAATACACAAAAGAAGAAATGTAATAGCCAATAATCTTGTAAAAATTAACTTCACTAATAGTTAATGACATGCAAATGAAAACCAAAATAAGGCCTTTTTATTTTAACCACAGATTGGCAAGCATAACCCTGCAAAACCAAATGAGGAGAAAGGGCCTTTAATGCACAGCTGTTTTGTGGGGGTGTAAATGGGTATAACCTTCCTTAGGGAAGGTAGTTAGTTTGGCAGCGTGTAACTGTGAAGGCGTCATTCCTGGGACCATGAGGTGAGCAATGGGAAGACAGCAGAAAAGTTAAAGGGACTGTCGTTCCTATGACAGTAGAGACGGTTACCCAGAGCACATTTCTCCCAGCCAGAATACAAGTTGTCCAGCTCCCCAGTCCCCATGGAAAACACACCTGCCCATCCATGGTATTTCCCAGTGTTTTCCTTACAGAGTAAGGATTCTGCAGGGACCAAGCTCCCAGGCTCCCATTCCCAGGCCCTTTATTCTCCCTGGCCTTCCCTGGCTCTGCACCTGCCTGCTGACCAGGTGTAAGTCACTTTTACACAACAGCCCCAGCACTTGCTTGAGTGTTTACCACCAACATGAATTGGGCAACTTGAAGGTCAGTCTTCAAGCATACCTCTTTTCCTGCAAAGCCAGCCTCAGGTCTCCCTGAGGTTCATCCCTGAGGATCAAAACGCAACATGTACCTGCCATTGGTCCCAGAAATCCCACTTCTAGACTTACCTTAAAAGATAGTTGCACAAATGCAATGAGATGGATGATTACATATATTCATTGAAGCATTGTTACTAGAAAAAAAAATTGTATCAACCTAATTCAGTAATGGTGAACCTATGACACGCGTGTCAGAGGTGACACGCGAACTGATTTTTTTGGTTGATTTTTCTTTGTTAAATGGCATTTAAATATATAAAATAAATACCAAAAATATAAGTCTTTGTTTTACTATGGTTGCAAATATCAAAAAATTTCTATATGTGACACGGCACCAAAGTTAAGTTAGGGTTTTTTCAAAATGCTGACATGCCGAGCTCAAAAGGTTCGCCATCACTGACCTAATTGCTCATCAATGGAGACTAAGTAAATTATGATACATCCATATGGCATGGTCCTTCACAACCACAACATATCTGTGTACGTATTAATATTTGTACTTCTGTGCATAAAAGTGTCTGAAAGAGGTGGGGAAGTGGCAGAGGATGCACTGGGTGGCTAGGTAGGTATCAGAGAATAGTTCATAGATACACTTTCATGTTTTTTGAATTTTAAACCATTTGAATGTATTTTTTAATATTAAAGTTAAAAAGTAAATTTGAACACACAAAGGGAAGAGAAACAGAGGTGCCTAAAGGAACAGCCACCGTAGGTGACGGCAGTTATTTGGGGGGAGCAAGATTCGAGTCAACACTTTTTATTCCCTCACTTTCTGTGTTGTGTGAGTTTTCATGGTAAGCCTGTATCATTTTTGCAGGTGTAAAAATTGAAATTTAAAGAGGAAATTATGTAATTACAATGAAAAAATAGTAAAGCGATTTTCATTAAAACATTTTTAAAGAGCATTTCCAAGGCACCCTTTGCACTGTGTTTGTTGGCCATCACAAGCCCACTCACTCCACTTCTGTTCTCGCTTCTGCTCCTGTAACCCCATCCCAGGAGTTTTTTTAATTTCCTCTTTTATTTTTTTCCCTAGAGTTGCTGATGGAGTGATTAAAAGTGTATTATGGCAAACACTTCAAGCTCTTAATTTCTGTCATCAACATAACGTAAGTGACATTTTCTAATGCATTTGTTAATTCTTCATGATGAAGAATTAGTAGCTCAGGGGTGTCTTTGAAGAGCTAAAAACAGGGAAAGTAAGAACCAGAAGAGCAAAACAAAAGAAAGTTACCGAATATGAGGAAAAACAATGCATTATTTGTGGCCCTTTTCCAATTTCTATAAGAACCAAATTTCTAATTCCTTACGAATTAAAAGTTTGTATGAACTTAATGTTTCTTTTTGCCTCAGTACTACTGATTCCTATGACTATTTTTAAATTGGATTAAAGTAAGTTCTCTATAGTGTAATCCACTTTGGCACTTTGTTTTGTTTTTATGTCTCTTAAGTCTTTTATTCTATAATAGTCCCCCTTCCCCTACCTTTTAATTCTTTTTCATCATTACTTTTTTATAGCCATAGTTCTTCAAACCCGAGCATGTATCACAATGCCCAGAAGGCCTTGCTAAGACACAGTTTGCTGGGTCCACCCCCAGAGTATCAGATTCCATGGGGCTGGGATAGGACCCGAGAATTTGCATTTCCAAGCATTTTCCTGGTTGATACAGAAGCTGCTGGTCCAAGATCCACACTTTGAGTCCTATTGTGTTACTGAAATCATTCTGACTGATTGCATCCTGTGTCAAACTGAACTTGGTCTTTCGCCTGTTTTTCCTTTAAATTGGCATTTATAGCTAGAGCAGGGGTGGGCAAACTTTTTGACTTGAGGGCCACAATGGGTTCTTAAACTGGACCAGAAGGTGGGCAACTTCATTAATTAAGTAAAATCGGCCCGCGGGCCGTAGTTTGCCCACGGCCGATTTGCAGGTTCATTTTTCTTCACACAAGAATAGTTCATACATAGTGCTGTGTCTTTTTATTGCATCAATATCATGAGGCATCCAATGTCCGGTTGTCCCACTGAGCCACACCAACCGGGCCAGAAATTTTAGACTTTGATGCAAACTCATTTGAGGAACATAACCTGTTCTTAGTAAATCACCAACTTTTGTGAGTATGACTCAAAGTGTTAATCCAGGTTTCATAAATGGGTTACCTAAAAGGTAGAATATCAAAATGAAGTTGGTTTATATTACAACAATATATTTTTTAAATTAATAGCTAAGGCCTAGGGCTTTTAAGGGGCCTCAAAAGGTTTAACAGTTGACAGTGGCTGAATTGAGACTACCTGAACTAGCTTCTATTGCCGGTGCCATTTTTGTGACCAAAAATAAATTAAGGATTTAACATGTTCTCTTCCTAGATAGTTGCTCTAGAAGCAAAGAGAAATTATTAGAACTGTCCATTTGACAGCAACACTTACAGGGACGGACAGCACAGCAGGGAAGTGAGGCAGAGGAGCCGATTCCTACGATGCTCCATCTGGGACTGTCAGTGGCTTCCCGCACTCACAGTGTTGTTGGCTTTGGGAAGTACAGAGCTCTGCCTGGGGGCTGAGTTAGAGAACAAGAGCACCATCATTCTTATCATGTGGTCCTCTCTCAGGAGGGCTGCCAATCCTAACTATAAGGGAGTTTTGTTTATCACTCAAATGTTTCTCCAGCTTCTCAAATGTGAATGTGATTCTTGGGTGGCAGTAGTTCTTATAGGTACGCTGAGACTCACCTCACCGAGGGTTTTACTCTTACAGTTAAAATAGAACCCGGTAAAAAGTGGAAGAAATAATTGTATGATACTGCCTTCTCTCCCCACAAAAAAAGTCAGTTTTTATATCCAACAATTATTTCTTTGCTGATGTAACAACAATTTTTTTCTTTTGGTGTGATAAGTGAAAAATTGCCAATTTAAGTTCTTTTAAGAAAACTGTATTTTTATCTCACAGACTATGTTTACCATTTAAAGTAAGAGGTAATGTTTTCTATGCTTTGTCATTTTGATGGCTCAGAGAAATAATCAAATATTATCTTAACAGTGTATTCACAGAGATGTAAAACCTGAAAATATTCTAATAACTAAGCAAGGAATAATCAAGATATGTGACTTTGGATTTGCACGAATTCTGAGTAAGTAACCACTTTTTACTAACTTACTCAACTCAGATGATTATGAAATAATATAGTTGAAAACCTCACTTTAGATATTGAATGAATGCAAATGTCTTATTGTTATTACTCAGAAACGAAAATCTCACTTTCACCTTTAGTCACTGCGTTAATTAGCACTTCAGCTCCGCTCCGTTCAACTAGAATTTATTGGACATCACATTTATATGCTTTTCCCCAGAGGAGAAGAAAAGGGTTATAAGGTGCAATTCTGCCCTGCATGCTCTTATAATCTCAAGTAAAATAAACAAAAGAGTAATGCAGGCTGGTTGGCAAGGAAGTGCAAAAGTGAAGGGGTGGACGGTTCCCCAGAGGGAGATGCTCATGGGGGCTGGAGTGGTTGGCAAATAACTTCACGGAGCTGGTGAGACTAGAGAGTGAACTGACCGTTAGAGAGAGAATTCAGAGACAGTGCTAAGAAAAAGGAAATCATCCCAGACAGGGAGGAACCAAGCGGGGGGAGGGACAAGTCAGTGTTTCTCCCCAGATGTAGAACTGCACCAGGCTGGCAGCATACACATTGCAAGGTGGTGTGTACACCGTCAGCATCCGGACAGGACCCAGGCACAGGGGACTTGACCGTGCATTTGGAAGCTGGTTTACGCTTGACCGTACACTAGAAATTGTCAGTCACACTGCCCTCTGTTCGGGATTACATAGATGTTAACCAGCAAAGGTGCCTCTGGAAGTTGAATGCACAGTGTAACTCTTTCCTCAGTCGGCATCACAGCATGAACTGTTAGGAGTGTGTGGCTGCTGAGAGTTTTGAAGCGTACCTCGGTGCCTGCTCTTAGGAGTTCACACGCTGGGAACAGGGGACCCGCCTCGTCTGATGGATGTTTGCAGTTCCAGGAGATGCCTACACTGACTATGTCGCTACGAGATGGTACCGAGCTCCCGAGCTTCTCGTGGGAGACACTCAGTACGGCTCTTCAGTCGACATATGGGCTACCGGCTGCGTGTTTGCAGAGCTCCTGACCAGCCAGCCGCTCTGGCCGGGAAAATCAGATGTGGATCAACTTTATCTGATCATCAGGACTCTGGGTAGGAGCTGCGTTTTATGGCTTACAGCCGCGGAGTTGTCATGGTAACAGCATGCCACTGTAATGACCAGCAGGGGCTTTCTGCCTCTCCAAGGTGCTGGTCAGGATGGTGGGGCCTGGGTTGGAGCCAAAACCCAACCCTTTCCTCAATCTCTCCAGCCATTAGTCCCTCACTGAGGAATTTCCAGATCCTCTCCATGTCAGGCCACTTAGCCAAGGAATAAACTACACATCTACTCTCTGTATTGGGCTCTACAGCTAAGGATGTGCGTCAGCTGTACAGACCTTACTCTTCGGAGGTATTGGACCCAATGCCATTTCTGTCCACTGTAAAAGAGGGTTTTCCTTTTACATGGCAACATTGTTTGTGATGCCTTTTTAGAAATGAGAAGCTGGGGCTCAGGAGGCTTCCATGATTGGCCTAAAGTGCAGAATAGGAATGGAACTCGGAGAATCCCTTTCCTCGTGTGTCAGCATCCTCAGCAGTGGTCTGCCTCCTGGCTGGAAGGGAATATAACCCAGAAGGTTACCTGCAGCTTTACTCTGGCACCATGGCTGCAAAGATACATCTACACACAGAATGAACATTTATTAATTCCTTCCCATAGGCTCTCCTGGCAGCGTGGGTGCCGGGCAAGGGAATTACTGCTGTCCGGTCTGGTTCCAACACATTCTTCTGGACAATTTTGCAGCATGAAAAATGTGGGGCAGAGTATCACCACAGGACACGCCTCTAGTGTATTTTGTTTGATTGATTTCCTGAAAGGCCAGTGGAAATTTACATCAGGTAGATATTAGACAGGCCTGAGTTTGAAATCGGGTCTGTCATTAAATGACCATGTGACTTTAGACAGGTTACTAACTCTAAGCCTCATTCTCATTGATATAGTGGAGACTGAAAGTGGCACCCATTGTTAGATTGTAAAGTCCTCCGCATCGTGTCTTACCTCCTCTTTTGGTGGGGCTGTATGCAGACCACGCTACCTGTGGCAGAGAGTTGTGTGGGAGAATTGACCTTACCTGAGAAGGTGAGTTTAGGCCAGTGATGGCGAACCTATGACACGCGTGTCAGAGGTGACACGCGAACTCATTTTTTTGGTTGATTTTTCTTTGTTAAATTGCATTTAAATAGATAAAGTAAATATCAAAAATAAAAGTCTTTGTTTTACTATGGTTGCAAATATCAAAAAATTTCTATATGTGACACGGCACCAGAGTTAAGTTAGGGTTTTTCAAAATGCTGACACGCCGAGCTCAAGAGGTTCGCCATCACTGGCTTAGGCAGGGACCTATTCCTTCCAAATCTGAGGCCACAGTCAGGATCCGTATTTCTTTCGCATCTGGATCTCAGAAGTTAACCGTTTAAACACTATATTACTTTTATAAACTGAGTATAAATTATGTGGTTTGTATTTTATAGGAAAACTAATCCCAAGACATCAGTCCATCTTTAAAAGTAACCAATTTTTCCATGGCATCAGTATTCCTGAACCAGAAGACATGGTAACTGCTCCATTTCGGGTGGTTTATTATTTGTGTTGCTACTTTCTTTAAAAGGGTAGTTATTTTTGTTGGGTGTTTTTTAATTTTTATGCCTTTAGCTCCTGTTTTCCTTATGCCACACTAACACAGATCAAAGAAACTATATAAAAACTATATGAATTAATCAGGAGAATGCTTATAAAGTTTACTTGCTCTATCCGAAAGCTAATTTAATATTAGCTTTGAAGTGCAAGTCTTTTTAGTTCCTTACACGAATAACTGATCCGTCTAGTCAAAACACTCAGGTACCTTTTCCTGAAATAATTATCTTATAAACAATACTTACTGTAGTACTTTTTTATTTTGACAAAATGCATTCTCTGTTTTTGCAAATCAATAGAAACCATTTTTTTTTCCACAAAGTATATTTTCACACAGAAGGTCATTCTACAGAATGATCCTCACTGTACCCAAGTCAAAACTCCAGACTGCGATGCTCACCTCCACACTCTCGCTCTGGGCTTCGCCTTTCTCTGGGAATGTGTCACCTACTACCTGAGCCTCTTACATTCTGTACACATAGGTTTCCTGTTTGTGTTACCTAAGTTTGGGCTGTGATCTTTAAAACTCCACATGGTCTGGATTCTGCCTATAGAATGGACTGTCCAGAGGCGTGTGTCCGCACTCACACTGCCTAGGTTGGAGTCAGAGGGCTGCAGGGAGGGGAAAGTCTGTAAAGACAGACCATGATTTACGGCACAGGTGAACAATCTGAGGTTTAAGACGCCCCAGCTATCTCTAGACACCATCTTTGTTTTAAATGTATTTCACATAATACCTTGATTTATATACTGGCTCTCTTTAATTAAATATAATAAAAGGTTAAAAGTTGATTTACAAGGCTGGAGGTTGAATTACAAAAGAGCATGCAATTTAAAGAATAAAGCAACGAATACACATTAAAAATGTTACCACTATCTTTGAAACTTCCTCCTCCCTGAATTCTCCTCCTCCATCCCATCCTCCTCCCTCCTCACTATTTTGAGTTTATGTTCATCATCCCATTGCTTCCTGTATTGCTCTTACACATGTAGTTCAATGTAATTTTCATTGATGCTCAAAGCCTTCCTATGAGTAGATCAGACACAAGTATTATAGGACTGTTGTACTATTTCAGAAGGGGACATTTGGTACCCACATTTATCAAACATCAATTGCAAGACATTGTGAAATTAAGAAAATAAATCCAATTTTTGTCTTTTAAGTATTTACACTATAGTGTAACATTATGTTTCATAAATATGATTTTTATGAAAAGAAATTATCTAACCTACTAGGGAGTCTTTTTTCAAAGTGTTCTTCTTATTAATATATTAAGATATACATTACGTTGTTTTTATGTAATGTTAAAAGTTTTCACTTTATGTCCTAGGAAACTCTTGAAGAAAAATTTTCAGATGCTCATCCCATGGCTTTGAATTTTATGAAGGTACGTAAGAATCACTTATAATCCTCATTGACCGCAAATTGTAATGATTGAAGCTGGTAACTCTGGGAGGAGAGGGCAGTAGTACAAATAACGCCAAAGCAGGATGTAGTCATTGAACATGACAAGGAACTGTAAAATCATTATGGTTAAAGGAACATCAGTGGTGTAAGCAGTACTCTTTCTAGGAGATGGCCCTGGCTGGGTGGCTCGGTTAGTTGGAGCATCATCCTGTACACCAAAAGTTGTGGGTTTGACTCCTGCTTATGGCACATACTGAGGTTATGGGTTCAGTCCCCACTGAGAGTGCATAAAGGAGGCAACCAAGTGATGTTTTTCTCTCCCTTCCTCTCTCTAAAATCGATATAAAGAACATATCCTTGGGTGAGAATTAAAAAAAGTTTTTTTAATTAATATAATTGGGGTTTGCTGTGATGAACACAATTACTTCTTTTGCATTCATTAGAAATTTGAATATTAAGTTAGTATATTCAGACTATGGAAGTTTATGAGGATGTTGAAGGTATAGAACAGTACAGTCCAGTATGGTAGCCACTGCATGTTACTATTGAGCACTTGAAATATGGCCTATTTGAATTGAGATGTACTAGATTTCTATTGAAATTACTATTATAAATATAAAATATTTCATTAATATTTTTAAATATTAATTGCATGCTGAACATTTTAGATATGTTGAGTTAAATAAAATTTTAATTATTTTTTAAAAATTAATAGAAGACAGGCAAAGTCCAAGTCATATAGACACCATAAATGGCCTATGCATGGGGCCTAAAAGAGATAGTCAAGCAAAGGACAAATTCTAGTAAAAAGTAGAAGAAATTCACCTATGACCAGACTGCTATTCATGCTTGACCAACTGAGGGCATGCTAGATAAGACTCTTCCATCAAAGTGCATACTAAAAGCCCTTAGGGGACAGGGATGGAACTACCAGTAAAAGTATCTGTCTTTAACAACCAATTAAGTTCTATTTATAGCTGTGGTTTCCATATATTCATCAGAATGACCTGGAAGCTTTTTCAAAGCACACATTCCAGTATCTAACCTCAGATTCCAGAAGCAGAATCTCTATATATAGGACCTTAGAATTTATATCATTAAATATCCCCCTGGGTGATTATGCTAAGCAGCCCAGTTGAAAACTCATATGACCTAGAAAGTGGAGCCATCTGGATGACCTAGAGTTGACCTTGTAGGCCGGCCTTTGTGCCAGTGCTGGTCACTGCAAAGGTATTATCCAGGGTGCTGGATTCCTTCAGTCTGAGTCCTGGAGCCTGACCCCTCAGTGCTCTCAGACTGCCCTTACCCCTGCTCCACTGGACCTCAGCTGTCTTCCACTGGTCTCACTGCTATGACCTGCCTTAACCCAGCACTTTGCAGGCCCTGTCCTAGAAGCCCAATTTCCTGACCTTGTTCTGGACAGGTTGATCGGACCCACGTACAGTTTAACAAAACCCATTCGGGGTGGGGAGCGTCAAGCACTGCAAGCCCAATCCATTCTCATGTTGAGGCCAGGACTTCCTATGGTTCCTCCTTCAACCAACCAGAGAGAAAACTTCCAGGACACAAAAACTCCACTGTATAACGCAAACTCCCTCTCCTCATCTCCGAAGTTGGAGTGCCCTGTTGGGCTGCCCACGATTCTGGATGAAACCACTTTTGTCACTCGGCTATTTGATTTAGACTCAAACTGTTTGACCTGAGACCCAAGAACTCTCATAAGTGCATCAAGGATTGTGCTATTCAGTGGGCCACACCCTATGTCCTAGACTCCTGCCCCATGTTAGATGAAGACAGGCTTTCTTTCATTAATTGCAATGGAGACATCTTTAACAACAAATGAGCATCAGCTACCATAACAGGTAGTTATCCCGCGAGACTGGGTCAGAATCTAGGCAAGGAACTGCTCAGGTGGGTGAAGTGCCAGCCAATGGCAGTGCCAAGGACAGTGGCGGAAATGCAGGGGCCAGTATGTGACAGATCTGTATTCTGTTCATTAGATTTTAAAATGAGACAATGGGGACAGTATTTATTTTTTATTACTAATCTGTTTTCATAACCAAAACCATCCTATTCCTACATCAGTTTTATCTGGTCATCAAGAAGACTGTAGATTCTTGGAAATTTTGAAGGACTTTGAGTGTAATTTGAAGTTTCAGGAAAAGGATCCTGACTTGGACTTTGCAGTTCCAAGTTCTTGTCCCTCATCTCTAAAACCTTTCCCATGTTAGGAGCGTCTTGGGTTACAGAAAGCTTTTAACCAGGCCGCCAAGAACTCAGAAGCCACAACTCCATCCAGGTCATCTCAGTGCACCTACAACTAATCCAGCGGGACATTGCACCAGCTCAGGCCCGTGGAGCAGCTCAGCTTTAACACTCTCTTCTTAGAAACTAAAAATGCTCTTAAAAAAACAACAACAACCACCCATACGTCTTTAGTGAAAGACTAGATTTCAGTAGACTGAAAATCCAAACAAGGAAGTGAATGAATTCAAGACATGGAAATAAAACTGGTAGTGTGATGATCTTTTAGATCTGGAGAGTGAAGTAGAGGAAGGGGGCAATGAAGTGTCTGTCTGAGTTTCCTAGGGCGAGCATAGCAAAGTACCAGGAACTGGGTGACTCAAACAACAAATTTATTCTCACAATTGTGGGGACCAGAAATCTAAAATCAAGGTGTCAGCAGGGCCATGCTCTCTCTACCGCTCCTAGGGGGCGGTCCTTCCTGGTCTCTTCCAGCCTCTGATGTCCCAGGAACTCTTGGGCTTCTGGCAGCAGAATCCAGTCTCTGCCTATCTTTACATGATGTACACTGTGTGTGTCTGGCTTTGCAATGTCTCCCCTCTTTGTATAAAGACACCAATCAGATTGGAGTAGACCCCACACTACTTCAGTATGACCTCATTTTATCTAATTACATCTGCAAAGGCCCTATTTCCAAATAAGGTCACATTATGAGGTCCTGAGGGCTAGGACTTTAATGAATATTTTGGGGATACACAGTTCAACCCATAAGAGTGCCCTTGAGACAAAGCAGAGATATTAAGTAGGCCATTGCACCCGTGGGTCCTGATTTCAAAGGAGAGGTCTGGATCAGACACATACATGTGGAAGTCTCTGGTAAACTTTGACCATTGAAGCCATTGAGCACCAATGAGATTAGCTAGAAACTTAGAACAAATGAGAAGAAAGGGGAACCTACGATTGAGCTTTGAGAAATTTCATGCAACCGTTGTGGAGGAGAATGTAGAGGAGGAAAGGTTGGTTTGAAAAGGGATGGCCAGGAAGTAGGAGGAATGAAAGTGAGGCATCAGAGAAGCCAAAAGAAGAGTTTCAAGAAGGAGGACGTGGTCAGTTGCATCTAGCACTATTGGGAGGAGAACACAAAATATGGAAGTAGATTTAAGGATAGGGAAGTAGAGATCATAGGTCTGAGTAGCAAGAACCACGTGAGGGTGGAATGTGGAGGCAGAAGCCAGAGTGAAGTGAGGGAGAAAAGAGGTGACCACAGTTACTAGCAAGCTGTAAGCCCTGGATAAAATACAGACTTGATTTTTCTAAACTCAGATTTGCTCTATCCAGTGATTACTCAGAGTTTTGGGGCACAGTAACAACATAGGCCCCTCTTTTAATGTCTTCTTTGCTTTTCATCCAAGGAGTGTCTGAAGATGAATCCAGATGACAGATCAACCTGTGCCCAACTCCTGGAGAGCCCCTACTTTGATTCTCTCCGAGAAGACCAAATTAAAAGAAAAGCACGTACTGAAGGAAGAAGCAGAAAACATCAGCAGGTACCTCCATTCAAAGGTTAAAGTGCTATTAAAAAGATTTTTTTTCCTTTTCCTACGTTTCAAAGTGAGACTAGATGGACACCAAGACCTTATTTTTGCACTGGTTTAGTTGTATTTGTTTACCTAATAAATACTGGTTGATGTAATAAAATCATAAAGCTATGAAATATCCAAATTGTTACAAAGTCTTATTCCAAGTACACTTACTGCACAATTCTTTTGTTACACTGATTGGATATCCCACCCACCAGAACATGTACCCAAAATACAGCAACTTCATACAATAATACCCCATTACAGCAGGACTGAGTTGAAACCCGCATGCAACGGAATCCCAGTACCTTTCCGTAGCCTCCAGATGTGCAGTATAGGACACGACTCTTCCATCTTTTCACCCCACGGGCACGTAAGTCTGCCTTTCCTAGATTTTTTCTCCAAGACAAGGACAATTCTGGCCAGATGCAAAGGGATGAAACTCAGGTATCTGGGAACCAAATCCTGTCCTCAGATGTACCAGTATTACATAAAAACATGGTAAATGTGGTGGCAAATGTTGATTCTGCAGTTTATTAGGTGACTACTTTTTACTTTCAGAAAACTTTGAAGTTAAAACATAAATTCATAGAAGTTTTGTTTGGGGTCCCCGCCCCCTCATCTTATATCCACAGCACCTAAAATAGTATTTTGTCATATAACTATGATCCAAATAACTAAATAGATAAGCAATGGTTCTTAATAAGACAAGATGGTAGTTTTTAATTTATCAGAGACTATCATCCCATTTTCGTTTGCTTAATCTTCCGCCTTTGATCTACTTCTTGGTCATTTATCTTCTCATTAGCATGTCCCAATAAAGGAAGAGAGCAGTCTTTTTTTCAACTATTTGATAGTTAAAATATAAGTTGGTTGGGAGAGAAACAGTAGAGTAATCAATAAGGAGAACTATGGTGATTTCTCTGTATCCAAAACCTCTGGATCTCCAAATTTGTATTGCGTAGATCATTTTACTGTTAAAGTTACATGTATGCAAGTTGAGCCCAATACAGTTTAGTTAACCAAAAGATTAGGGTTTGTTCAAATAAGTCTGAGGCAGCAGTATGAAATTCGGTGTGACTTGTGTGTAAAAACACTGTCCCCTTCAAAACATCTCACTGGATTCCTTGCCTATGGCCTGGGAGGTCAAGAGCAACACTACTCCATCCTGCCTCTTGGTTCCCAACTCAAGTTCTGCCACGCTGTCCTCAAATGGGGTGGGACGTGCTCCACCTTTAAGTCTCCAGTTCACAGCTGGACACTTAAAGCATCTCTCCACCACGTGACGTCTCTGGAGAGCAGGGCCAAGATAAACAGGGAGAGCTTTCAAGTCCTGGCTTTCTTTTTGAGGACACACCTCTTTCCCAGACACTTTGCCGTATCAGGAAAAAAAAATTCAGAAAGATCTTTTCATTCAGTCTGGTTTCATTTTGTGAGTTCAGATTTCTACTTCGATACTAACTTCTAGCTCTCTGAGTGATGACCAAGAAATTCATTAAGACTAAATATTGTTTAAAGTTGACAGTAAAGAAGTTTTTAATCTTTGCTGTCCCACCAATATCCTAAAATTAATATCCTAAATTTTTAAGTTGGAGATGGGCACAAAGTAAGCCTTGGGAATTATCATTTAATAGCTGGTGAGCGTGTGCCTTTTTAACACTGACCAGATACTCCAGAATTTGTGTGTTGAAATAGATTAGAGTGCATTCATAAGAAGCCTAGAATAAATAATAGAATCTAATTTTCAAGTATCAGAATATCACAGTTTTTAGAAAAGTATCTCTAAGGTTTAAGTTCATGTCTTTTGACATCTTTGTGCCACATGTGTCCTTTCTTTGCCACCTTTAAATCAAACTGTGCAAATAGGAATTGTTTTCAATTTACCTTCTTATTTTTGTCTTGTTCTGCTATTAGAATCAACTATTGCCTCTCATACCAGGAAGCCACACCTCCCCCACACCTGATGGAAGAAAACAAGTCCTCCAGTTAAAATGTGATCATCTTCCAAACATTTAGGAAAATGTTCTCTCAGTGGAAAGTAATTTAATATGTACACATTTTTGTACAAGGGAGATAGGAATTCTCAGTGTTTCAAATGCAAATGAGCCATATGAAAATTAAGATGCCTTCTAGAATTGTTTTGCTCTGATCATTACTGATTCCTCTGCCCAGGCTTTTCACATGCCAGCTTTATCTCTTAGAACATTTTCTTAAAATGTTATAAAGTCTGAAACTGCACATATGGAGGAGACATGTTCAATCTCATCAGAGCAGCCCCTCTTGAGGCAATTTATATTGAGAATTTGTGGGCTTATACTTTGATTTATGAACAAGATTTGCATATACCATCTTGCTTCAGCTGACCACATACTGTCTTAGAGCAATTTCAAATAGCTTGCCTCGCTGCTGTTTGTGTAAGAAATGACATTATGTTTCTGCATTTTAATTCACTCTTATTGTAACCAAGTCTGTTGAGTAATGCTGCTATTTTATTGGGTTTTCGTATTGGTGTAGGAAGGGAACTTTAAAATGTCACTTATGTTTGTTTTTTGATTCCAGGGTAGACTCTACTTTCTCTTTCTCATGAGATATTGGCGTTTCTGTTTTTAAAGCTAGCAGAAGAAAATTTTGTGTATTTACACAGTAAATAGTGGATGAGCTACAAGGAATTACCATCTTCATAATACCCTGGGATAATGGGCTGCTGACTCTAATGCTGTCCTTTGGTGCATCATGGTTTCTTCTCCTTTTCTCCTCCTGGCTACATCTCAGTACCTAAACCTGTCCTCCTGGCTGTATTTTCTAAATAGTTTATCATCAACAGTCTCTTCCAAACATTTGCATCCACAGCTTCTATGAACTTGTGCCGCTCTAAACTTGTGCATCATGGTCAAGTCAGGCCTGTAAACACTTCTGAGAGCAGGAAGATTCTCTTTCAGTTACCTTCATTTTGTGTCTCTTACCAAAAAAAGAAGCAAACAAACAAAGCACCTCAATAGGTAAGCCCAGCTTACACTGTGATATTTTCCCAAGTAAGCTTGACAGACCTATCTACATACAAACATATGTGCATATATATATACACATATATGTTTGCATTGATAAATTGTGAAGCATCATAGTAGATGCCTATTATCCTGGACATCTAAGGATGATGCCGAATATTTAAAGTACTTTGGGTTTGCTAACAAGAAACTCATGTGAAATTATAGCAATGGGCTGGCTCTTCCTGTCTGGCATAAAGACTCAAAAGAGTGAGGTTCCTATCAATAAATATTAAGATTATGTCATCAACTCTTTTTTTGCTCCTAGGTTCAGCATGCTCACCTGAACATTTTGCAAATACACACAAGTTCAGAAATTCCTTGTATATGGCACTAAGACACTAAACATAAAGTATTTTAAAGAAACACAGTAATAACACTTACATTCCTCTTTAAAAGTTCATTGCACTTGTAGACCTGGCTTATAAACTTCCAGAGAATCTCATTCAATCATCAGGGAGCATCCCTTTACTAAAGAATTACGGCATCTGAGCAGTGGTTCCTTGCTCACTGGCAGGGCATTCTGAGTGGGCTTATTTGGCCATTTAACATTCTGAGTGTGAATATAAGCTGCTAGGGACTTATTTTCCTGTTATTATTAAAAAAATGTGCCTCTTCAGAGTTGTTATGTTTCTTGAAATTTTAATAAGATGATACCACAGGTGCAAGGAAAATGAGAAATAAAAGATAAAAGGCAACTTTGCTAAAAAGATTTCTTTTTAGCTTTCATAGTGTTTTTATCATGTAAGCCTCTTCATTGTCAAGCCACTCATGCTACTCCAGCTCTTGTTAGTGCATATAAGCTGCACACACAGAAATCAGGACAGCTCGAGACTCCATTACCCATCTTGTCCTAACTGCCTCAAACAACAGTGAAGATTTGGGCAGAGTTTGGGAGAATAATCGTCTTCCCTTTTGCTTACATTTGCGAATTCAAACTAACATTTCTCATTTTTTTCCCTTACACAAATCCATCATTTATGTATGACTGGAGAGGAGAAAGCAGGTGATGCTTAGAGAACGATTCTGATGCAGTCATATTACCACGCAGAACAATAACTCTTCTGATGACGTCTGCGTGCTTGGCTTCCCTGCGTGACCCAGGTCACGTAGCACTGCTGCCGCCTGAATCCCTCAGGCGCACAGATCTCCGATTGCAGCTTTTCTCCGTCTCCAGTGCGTGCTGCTCACCTCTGTGCTGCACAGGTCCCTTTGCATTTCTCAGCCACATGACAAACAGATGCACCTCTGGGTCTGGTACCCAAATGAAGTCATGACTCTTGTAGAACTTATCCTCACAGAAGCCCGCAGGATTCTGTAATCTCGCCTTTCCTTCACTCTTGTCCAGCTTCTGGCTGACCTGGGCCTTGCCTCACCTGTGCCAGCTTTCCAGCTCTTTAATTTGTGTATAATTTTTTGCTGCTGCACACATACTGTGCTGTCGTGGTGAGCGGCGCCACCTGAATATTTGAATGTGGTGATTGTTCCCGCTTGCCCCAACCATGAAGCACTTGTAGAGGGTCACTTTTTGGAGGTTATTTTAACTAGACTGAAGCATTAACAAGCTGTGTTCAGTGGGCTTTTGAAGGCTTGGGATTAGGGAGGGACTGGGTAAAGACACAGCCTTTAGGCAGGGAAGGAAGAGGTGAGCAGAGAATAGATGTCCCTCTTCTGGCGTCTACGCGATGTCACACGCTTCATTCACTGCTCTTGCAGATTCCCCAAACTACAAGGAAGGAGGAAATTAGTAAGTTCTTTTGACAAAAATTTTAGTTCTGAAAATATTTTATAGTTCTTTAGCTTACTTGCTATAGAATTATAATTTTTTTCAAAAAGATATCACTTTCTTGGTACTTTTTCACCATCAATGATTTCCAATCATGGTTTTGGAGCAAATGGCACAGAGTAATCCCAAAGCATTTTTTTTTAATTATTAAAACATGTTACCAGAAGAGGAATGTTCCTGAAATTCCACAAACAGAAAAAAATTGAGGAGTCAGTGTAAGATATTAGATGAATCACAAGTATAGAGGTTTTTAGCACATATAGTTAAGACAGAGAGAGAAAAGGCTACACACAGGTTAAAGTAATGTTCTGGGTACATGTATGTGTTTATCTTAGATTAAAATTTTTAACTCAACAACTTCATTCTTGTTTAGTAGACAACAAAAAGTTTTTAAGAGTGGTAGTTTAGAGAATAATAGAAATATCACATGACCTGAGAGTTAGGACTCCAGGTTCTAGGCCTGGCTTGCAACTCTCTATATAGACATGTAACTTTTCTTTGCCTTTATCTTCCCATTCTATATAATAAAAGCCTAATATGCAAATTGCCCAAACGGCAGAACGACCGGTTGCTATGATGCACACTGACCACCAGGGGGCAGATGCTCAATGCAGGAGCACCCCCAGCCTGTAAGCCCCAGGCCTGCCATGGCAGGTGCCAGCAGGGGCTCTCCAATTGCCCTGCAGGTCACCCCACAGATTGACCCTGATCGTTGGCCAGGTCTAGGGACCCTACCTATGCACGAATTTTGTGCACCAGGCCACTAGTTTGTATAAGAAGAGAGTAGATAATCTAGATGATCTAAGGCTCCGCTTCAGCTTGGTGTCCTGGGCATATCTGCCACTAGAAGATGCTTTCTATAGATTGTTCTACACTAACTTCGGTGTTTATGATGTAGCCAGGAGCTTGGAGGTCACTTTATTTCTCTCTCATCTCTCACTTGCTTGATTTCTTTCACACACACAGAAACACACACAACTGCTCCCTGCTAGTTCTATCAAGTCAATAGGAGATTGTAGACAACCATCTAATGGAGGTTACATTTTATAAATTAAAGTAGATTTTAGAGCTAATGATCACTAGATTTTAATGTAAATAAAACCGGCATGCTTTTAAAATGCAGAATAATGCGTAATAATTTTTTGATGTTTTAATCTAACTCTGATTAGCTTGGAAATTACACATATGCTGTGAAACATTAATTTAAGATAACCATTAAGGCAAAGAACATTGAGTACATTTCTAACCTCAGTAAAACTTTTAGTAGTTTCAGTAAATAATAACTTAATGGAATTCTACAAATATATCTGAATTATATTCGTTTTATATTTCAGCAGCAGGGTCTTCAGCAACTTTATATTTAACTATAATTTACATAAGCTGAGAATTGGATTACCCTACTTAACAGGCATATAAATAACTTGTATTTTTAAAGTTAAAATTTTCTTTTCTGTTGTGAATTAACCTTATCTAACCATATCTCTCAATATTATCCATTGAGGACATTGTGTATTTACTTATTATTTTACAACATATTTCAAATCACATGAAATTATGGCGATATACTAATTAGCATTTGATAATTAACACAATGGCAATATATACTGCTAAAAACAATTCACTACAACACCTTTTTTAGTTGTATTATGTTAACTATATAAATACATAACATTCTTTAAATTTAGCTTAAGATATATAGAAAACTTGGTATGGGATTAAATATTTTGGCGACTTTACATTTGTATATATAACAACCTGAATGTGTCCTCTAGCTTATTTTAATAAAAGTTAGAAATATTTCTGTCTCCTTATTTCCCTTTAATTCAGCTATTAATCCATATCTAATGTTTTATATTTAGGTTAAAAAAAAACTGTCATTGTCACATATAAGTTCCAGAACTTTTTATTGAATGTCCCATCAGTTGGAATATACGAACAACTGGCATGCCCACTGTTCCTTTTGGGCTGGAAAGTTTCACAAATGGGGAAACTAACAAAATCTTTTCCAGTCTGACCGGCTAGATGCTCATTCCTGAGAACATCTTTACAACTTTACTTCGAGGCTGTAAGATTCTTCTTCTTTCAATTCATCAGAACATTTTTCTCATTCTTTACAAATATTAAGCTACAAAATATGAGATTTCCTTGACACTTCAATTCCAGGCTATCACAATAGTTTCTATGGTTTAAAAAGGTGAAAAAGGCTCAAGACCAAACGTAGACTAATGATCAAGGAGAGAAGAACAGCCTTGGCCGGTGTGGCTCACGGTTAGAGCATCAGCCCGCGTACCAAAAGGTAGTGGGTTCAATTCCTGGTCGAAGGCATATACCTGAGTTGCAGGTTCAATCCCCCTCCCCAGTCATGTGGGAGGCAACCAGTTGATGTCTCTCTCTCACATCAATGTTTCCCTCTCTTCTATCTCTCTCGCCCTTTCTCCTTTCTATTCTCTCTGAAAAGCAGTGGAAAAAAATATCCTCAGGTGAGGATTTTTAAAAAAGAGAGATAAAAAACAATTAGTAAAATAATGAAGTCATTATTTAAATATGCTTCAATTCTTTTATTTTCTTTTGAACTAACCTTTCTGCTTTCATTATTTTTAACCGTGCTTATGCTTCAAAGAAAACAGTATACTATCTCCATCGATAACTGCAACAATTTCTCCCATTCCACATGCCTTTTGCAATGATCCTTTTCCTCTCCTTTTACCAGGAGGTGAGGTCTCCTTCCCTCCTCCCTGCCTTGTGACCTGTGACTTCCTTAGACAAATAGAATGCAGCAGAGGCGCCACTGTGCCACTCTGGGCCGGCCCCTATCGAGGCCTGGCAGTTTCTGCTTTTTGTCTCCAGGGAAGCCAGCCACCGTGCTGTAAAGAAGCGTAGGCTGGACTTCCATTGATAAGACACCACGTGGAGAGAAAGACCCCTGGAAGGGCACCAAGGCCTTCCTAGCCCTTCCCACTCGGTGCAGCCACCAATTGAATGCAGCCGAAGCTGTGTCCCCAGCCATTAGAGCAGGGAAACTGCCCAGCTGAGCCCAGTCAACCCACAGAATTATGGAAATAATAAATCATCGTTGTTTTAAGCCACTATGATTGGGGATGATATGTGATATAGCAATAAATAACTGAAACAATATGATTTTAAATGGCGTACTGTATATTACAGTTGAGAAGCATGTTCTCAGATAATACGCACACTTAATGTAAGGCATACGGTGTGATGTTATTAAACCTAGAGCTATAAGGACTCTCCAAGGACTCCCATTCTTCCCTGCCACCCACCACCTCTATCTGTGGATCTTATTTATTTTAGTCGCGGCTGCTATGCTCCCAAGGAGGACATCATCTTCTCAGGAAACGTGTGTAACACCCCCACGCAGAAACTCTAAAACACGGTAGTGAAGAAATGACCCAGACATTGTATTTGACCAAATAGATGAGTACGTTCTTGCCAGAAATTTCCTGGATTTCTTGACAGTGGCCTAAGAGAAACCTTCTTTTTGGGAGAAAAATGTTCACAGCTGTATTAGATAACTGGGTAGATGCTAGACTACATGTTTTCTACCTTTTTCCCAAGTAAACAGTCAGTTTGGGTCCTGATGGGTGTTTTTTACTTTTAAACCAGTTCTCCTCACTCATCCTCCCGTCCAGCAGACTTCAGCTAGTGGTCATCTGTGTGCTCTTAGGGAAAAGGCTTATCTAATTGCACGAAAACTTTCTCATAAAAAAGGTCCCTAGCACCTTGGAGTGTTCAGGATGACGGGTGCCATTGTCTTTCCACACTTTCCCTCTTTCTCTCTCAACTAGAAAGACATCCTACTAAAGGTCAGATTTTGGCTTTGCCACTTACAGGTCATAATCTTTGATTATCAGCATCTTCAACTCTTAAAATAAGAACACTTTCCTAAAATGAGAATTTTAACACCTGAGGTGGTTCAAGGTATTAAATGAAACAATTATGTTAATATGTTTATAATATAAAAAACTATAAATATTATTACTTTTATTACCCTGTAGAACTTTTGGAATATATTGACTTCCACAATTAATATGTGGTCACTTAAAAGAAATGCATAGAATTTTTTTAATACAGTGGTTCCCATGTTTCCTCCCAAAGAAGCGTGCATGAACCTTCATCCCATTCAGGTGCTCATCTTTCATTTGGTGCCTTTTGCATTTCCAACATGAAAAGGCTCTTATTTTCAGCAAAGAAAAATGTCAAGTTTTTCTTTTTACACCAATTTAGTTTATTGACACTTTTAAATGTTTGCTTATTGTCTAGCAAACACTATTAGGTTATCAGGTACTGGGCAAACACAGAAGAAATTAAGCCTTTAATGGAATAAGTAGGCACCAAAAGAAAGCCTAGTGGGGTTAACCAGAAAGGCACAAATTAAGACTTCACAAGAAGACTTAAAGAAGACACCAGCCCTAACTGGTTTGGCTCAGTGGATAGAGCATCGGCCTGCGGACTGAAAGGTCCCAGGTTCGATTCTGGCCAAGGGCATGTACCTTGGTTGCGGGCACATCCCCAGTAGAGGGTGTGCAGGAGGCAGCTGATCATTGTTTCCAACTCTCTATCCTTCTCCCTTTCTCTCTGTGAAAATCAATACAATATATATATATTTTTAAAGAAGTCACCAACACCACCATCATGAAGTAATCTGACCACGATGCCAGGAGATTTCCTGAGGTGTTGCAATCATCAAAGATAGAAGAGTTGGCTGGGGAGGAACAACTAAATAGTGAAGAAACAGCATTTTAGGTCTGGGAATACACAAAACCAATTTAATTTTGTGTTCATTAAGCAGTCCAGAATAATTTGCTGTAGGAAACAACTAGAGAAAAAAAAAACAAGAGATCCAAGTCTTAATTTAATCTGTGTATTCCAGCAATTAAAATTACATGAACAGTGTCTATTCCTGAGGCAGTGAAGAGGTGCTGAGTGAGAAGAAAAGTCTGTCCCAAATTTAAGAAACACTTGCAGAGAGGGGGAAAAAGGGAAGAAGAGGAAAAATTGGTATTTATCACTTGTCTGCAACAGTCCCCATCTCAAGATCACCTTTCCACTATTCACGCCTTCCTCTTTTCTATGTATCCTTCGTTCTAGCCATACATCTGCTATTCTTGGATTTGAATCTCTACCCTATTGTTCTCAAGTTTCTTCCTTTACCGTATACTCATCATTCCACTCTCTGCTCTGACAAACACCTGCTCCATTATTCAGTTTCCTTCCTTCTGGATTTGCAAATCAACTACTACCTGCAATTTTCATCCTGAAAAATCACCCCATATTTAATCTTGTCTAATGTGAGAACCCCCTATAAAGCACCAGCACTGTTATATAAATTAAATTTGAAAATAATCTTAGATTGAATTCAAACAAATCCTAAAATAGGTTTATTTTTTTAATTACAATTATTTTTTATTTTTCTTATTTTTTCCTCTTTACTGAATTTATTGGTGCGATCCTGGTTATCAAAATTATACAGGTTTCAGGTGCACAATTCTACAACACATCATCTGTACATGTTGACCACCCCAAGTCAAGTCTCCGTCCATCACCATTTATCCTCCCACTAAAATATGTTTGTTTTAGCGATTGACATCTCGTTAGATGCTCTATACTCTGCTATTCCTTAAATATAATCCCATTTAGGAAAAAAAAATCCCTCACCAAAATTGTCTTTATCAAATATTCCCTCTAAATCATAGGTTCTTAGTCATGAGTTGCCCTCAAGGGTTCCAGTAGATGTCCCTCATCCACTTCCTAATCCAGATTCCAAATGTAACCCGGGGGCAGTAGTAATTGCCCCAAACTCCAGAGCTCTGCTGGGTTAATGACTGGACAGTTTACAGTACCTAAATTTAAAAATAAAATAAAATATATACATAGCAGTATCTTATGGGTATACAAATACTTTGTACCTTTCTTTGATTACCTTTATCAAGTATTTATCAGTTATAATGGCCTTTTTATAGAAGCTAGACTTCCATCAATAAATTTACTGTATTTTTTTTAAACCTGGAACAAAGGACCTCTGCCCCTTTGCCTCTTCTGCATCCTGAGCCCTGTATGACTTGGAATAGAGCAAGACCATGACTAATTCTGCCCCACGGGCTGACTAGTCTAGGAGAGATAAAAATCCCTTCCTCATTCTGCCTTAAATATTTAACATTTAGAAATTCATCTGGGTTACAAAGTAATCCTACTGAGAAGATTAGGGAGATAAAGTACCAGTTGGAATATTTATGTGAATTCGCTTAAAGGAATCTCTTTCCCAAGAGCTGTTTCATCAGTAAGCTGAAAGAATAGAGCCTGGGCTAGGGCTGCTGGGTTGTTGGGTGGCTGGAGGGCCCCCTGCAGGCCTTGGGTCTTTCTTTAAAGATTGGAAGTGGAGGGTACCACAAGGGGTGAGAAATTGAGGTGGAAATGTGTCTCCAGCAAACCATGTCTACTTTGAAAATTTAGCAGTGCCATCCGTGGCCATTGTTTCTTACAAAGAACATACATCGGATACCTTGGCTGGGTTCTAGAGCCAACTCTGCTACCAGCTGCATTGTGTTGAGCATGTTCCGTTCTCTCTCTGGTCCCTCAATCTAGAGTAAGGAGTAGTCAAGATCCATGTTTTTAAGGTTTCTTCCAGCTGTGATATTTTGTGAAATGACATAAACAACTGTCAGCGATCTTCCCTTGTCCTGTTCCTGTGTCCTCTTCCACCCTCCTTTTCTCAGGTCAGTCACAGATTGATGGGAAGGGTGAGGACAGAGAAAGGGCCCTATAGGGATTGTGCTCTAT